CCTCCCTCCCTCCCTCCCTCCGCAGTGGCTAAGAATTTGGCATTTCAATGTGTTGTCCAAACTGGGCTATTGTTTTAGCATGGCTCTCCAATTATCCCGTGTTGGTTTATTTTTTTAAGCATAACATGTTGCACCAATATAGCCATAGTGACTTGCTAATCTGGATTGAGGGGTTTGTGTGCTGAGTGTACCTGTGCCAGGGATCCATCCTTCCCCTTCCACTTACAATGCGCTGCTCATGTTGAGCTCTCCGTGGCCAAAGAGCCACAGCAGTTCTGTCCTAAATGCACTGCAGCCTTGAATCAAATCATTCCTGGCACACCCTGTTTGATCAAACTGTCCAGACTTGACTTTTTCTTGGTTTCGAAGACTATCTTACTCCCTTTTTTCGGCAGACTCTAAAGAAATTGACAGGAGGAGAGCCAGGGTGAAGAACAGCGAAGGGGGTGATGTCCCTCAGAAATATTTTGTTGTTACAAACAATCAGCTGATACGGGTGAAATATTTGCTGGTATATTCGCAGAGGCAGTACCGAAGGTGAGTGTCCCTTCCTCCTCCCTTGCAGAATTCACTATCCCTGGAGTGAAGATGCTTCAGTGGATGGCCTGAATCTTTTCCTGCTCCCCGCGGTGCAAACATTCAAAAAACCAGGGAAGAGCCATCATAAGGGTGAGGGCAGAAGAGGCAGATGAAACCGTAATGGTGATAAGAGTTTTCATGCAACTGCAGAAAACCTGGCTGCAGAAGTGACCTTTCTCCTCCCCATTTTAAATCAAGCTGCTAGTCCTTATGACTGTAAAGATGAAAGTATGTCTCCAAGGGGAAATTTCTCCCCTCCTTTTCTTTTACTCTCCAGAAAACTAGGGAGAGTCCCTTCAGAAATGCTCCCCTTTCCTTCTGTGGGCTAACACACCTTTTACATGATGGTTGTCCAATCTCTGGCTCTTCCTCCTCTCCCCTAAGGTCATTCCCACATACCATTACATATGTACATACATACATATATAACCCTCCTGCCTCCTCTTTTTCCCCACCACAATAACCATCTCAGGTAGACTGAGCTAAGAGGGAGGGACACCACTTCCTTCTGAAAGTTCCAACATTGGAAGTTTTAGTGTATTGACATTAAAATCAGCCAACTGTATCTTTTGAAAAATCTGCCCTGTATTGTTCATAGGGGATGGAGAATAGAACTTATGGCCTGAGAAAGATTTGCCCTTGCAGTGGAAGGGTGTGGTGACCCTCTGCGCTCTTTCTCTCTGTAGGCTTCCAGGTCGGTCGTGGCTTTCCAAGCATCATTTTGGGGTGATGATGAGTCTTTACCTGCTGCTGCTGATTGTCATAGGGACTAGCAACTCCCCAGCCTTTCTCTACTACTGGAACCGGATTTTTGACTTCAAACAATGACACCTTGTGGGTATCCAGGGGGGTGGGAGCAGGGCTGCTGACCTTCACCAGGTGCCTTAACAGGGAGAGATGTCCAGCTTTGGTGAACCCCATCACCCTGGAGAGTAGAGCAGGGTGAGGAGAGGGGTGGAATAGGAATGTTTCAGATGCCTTAATTTTCCTGGTACACTTTTGGATAGAACACTTCTGCAAAAAAGACTCAGCTGGAGAGAACAGCTTCTTCCTTGGCCTGCTAAAGACAGACCTCATAAAAAGGTCTCAGAAACATCTTTGGGGGAAAGAATGGCAGAAGAGGGACTGTTGTCCTTTAAGGAAGAAACTTCATCACAATACAGATGTGTCTCCTACATTTAGGTTTGTTCTAAACCCCCAGGAGATTTTGTAAGCCTCCTCCAACTGGGACCTCGGAAAACCACACTGGCCAATTCATGTGTTTAACTTAAGTGGTGAAAGAGAGAGAAGGAAAAACGTGCTCTCATTTAAAGTGTCTACTTGTGTGTGCGTTGAAATGACCAAGCTGGAAACCTTCACACAGTTTGAGAGCAAAGATGACACCCACGTTAGCTGGGTTCACCCAAAACACTTAATTTGGTTAGGGGATCAACCATTTTCCAGGTTTGCATATTAAACCGGCCAAAGGGCTGGCTTTGCCCAAGTTGCGAAGCTTCAAAAATCGAACTATGATTAACACTAACCACAGTTAGCATCTTGTGCACTTGATTGCTTGGTCTCTATCTGACCTGCTCCAGTGTTGTGCGAATGCGGTCACTGGCTTCTTATTCCCAGTGTGGTTTGCGGAGGAACTCACTCTTAGAAGCACAAAGATGACTTCGGGGGATACTCTCAGGCACAGCAAAGATGAGTTGGGCAACCGTGCGTGATGTACCGCCTCAAGCAATTCTACAGCCCTTCTACAGCAACAGAGTTTTGATTGCACCGTCACGGCTGCTCCCTGATGTTTTTGACCACATCCTGTGGACACCCCCGGGTACAATAAAGGCTGCCAAGCACTTTATCTGTGAAAGCCATCTGCGGGAAGGAAGCTGTTATTCTTTTGCCCGAGATGGTGAGACAGCGGAAAAGGCCGTGATGTCGTGAATTGTCTGATGAAGTCCCTCTGTTTTTTCTTCTTCCTCTGCATTGGTTCCTCTCTGGTCCGTGTTTCCCAGCAGCTAGGTAAAAAAAGCTAGGAGAAAAGTCTCTAGGCAGATTGAAAGCCTGATTTGCCCTTTGCGTAACTGATGTCAGCCCTTTGGGTAGACCAGATCAGGAAACACATCACAGGAAAGCCAGAACTTTGCTTTATTGAGATGGGCTATAGTAACTGCATCTTGAAAGTCTGATTGTCTTTTGCTTCCCCTCCCCTTTAAACCCTCATTGAGTCAGGGAGGAGCCAGTCCAAGACTCTTCTTAATACAATGTCCCTTCCCAGGACTTAAGGAATGCTCCTGTCCTCTTTATTCACATAATGGCTTCTGAATATTTCCTTCAAGACTGTCTTCCTGGCTCTCTACAGTTGACTTCTTCTGGACTATTTGTGCCTGCTGGTTGGCTCCACTAGCTCAAAAAGTCTGGGCTATTGGGATGCTTATTGGGGGCGGGGGGGGGTGTCAGAAATTCAAGATAGCAGCCTCAACCCATGACTGAAGCCCCAGGGTGGGGCTTTGATGGTGTTGGAGCTATGCAGTCTTGACTTTTTGATCCTCCCTGTGGACACCCCTGCCTAAGCCTCTGGGACATTCATAGAGCACCCTTAACCAGGCCACTGGAAGACTAGCAGATCGATTTGCACAGCCTTGGTTAGATTTCTTGGCCAGAACATATTAAACCCAGAAAATAGGTTAATTCAGTAATTGAGTTAAATGTGTTTGTGCCACATGTTTAATCACAGTTACGTATCTTGCAGTAATCTTGGTTGGGGTTTTGCTTTGGTTTTGAGAGGGTTTGTGGGTTATGCAAATCCCATTTGGTTAGTTCATCATCCCTGCAGGGTATTGTGCCAAGCCAGAAAATGGATTAATTGGGTAAACAGGCTAGCTATAGTTGGATGAAGCCTTCAATCACAAGATTGCAGCTGCCATCTTGACTTTTTGAACCCTCTCCCCAACATCCCTAGGTCTGTGCAAGCAAGAAGTGATCAATTCCACTGATCAAGTCTAGTTAGCAAGTGTCATTAACTGCAAAAAAGTGTGCTGAGAATATCAAGTCAGTTTGCACAATAAGTAACAGAGGAGAGGGGTAATTTGGGATTTTACAGTATGGGAAACCCAAACCTTGTCTTTGCATGCTGTCTGAACCAAGCCAGCCTGACAAGCTATGTGACCAGATCAGTATGTTATGTGAACCCAACCATGTACTTCATTTTTAAAAACGTTTTTACTAAGTTCTTCATTTTTTAAATGTTTCGCTTTGTTTATTTGAACAGAACAGAAAAGGAAGAGAACAACAGAAAAAGAAAAAGAACAAACAAAATTATAGACATAAGGGTCTCAAATGTATATATATGTATGCAACATTTTACACAATGTTTTCAATAAAGAATAGCCATAATCCACATCTCTAAGTAACTTTCATGACTAACTTCTTCATGAAAGTGACCAGGGGTAGAAGACCATTAAAAAAAATGTTTGCCTCTAAGAGCTGCAAGGGGCCTCAGGGATGAAACAGTGACCGTTAAGGGGCAAGGCATTTTTCTTTCATTCATGGGGAAGTGTTTTTAAAAGGACAAAGCAGGTGTATTTAGACACCCTCAGTTACTCATTTAACTGTTGCTCATTGTGAGTGTGTGTGGCACGTGCGTAAAATGCTCATTCTGGTTATCGAATTAATCCATTTTCTGGGGTTGTGCAAGGCGTTGAAACTTTTTTAATTTTAAAAAAAGGAAAATTAACAGACAAAAAAGATATAAACAATTTGGGGAAAAAGGAAGAGGATCCATATAATCGTTTCCAATGGGGAATATGAATGTAAAGCTAGCTCAGCCCTTCAACATACAATTGAGTTTAGACCATAAATAAACCATGCTCCATCTACAATAAGTGGACTTTTCAAAGACAGGCAACACACCTCTAGAATCTACATTTTAACCCCTAAAGTTTTGCTTTCTTTCCAGCTGATTGATTGATTATGTGCCACCAAGTTGGTGTGGACTCCAGTGACCACATAGATAGATTTTCTCCAGGACAATCTGTCTCTAACCTGGTCTTTAGTTCTTTCAAAGGTGCACCCATCACCACTGTACAATAACTTGGGTCCATCTGTGTTGATGCTGGCTGTCCTCCTCTCTTTCCTTCCACCTCTCTCAGCATTAGAGCCTTCTCCAAAGAGCTGGGTCTTCACATAATGTGTCCAACGTAGGATAATTTGAGTCTGATCATTTGTGCCTCGAGTGAGATTCTTTCCACCTTCAGAAGATTATTCTTTTAGCCAATTTCCCATCTCAGTAGAGCCGAAGTTCTTCATAAAATATATTTTTGGAATATCAATATCAATATCCTATTTACATCTTTAACAACAATGTTCTTTCCCAAAGTTATGTTACCATATGTGGAAATTTGGGACCAAGAGGGATCCATGAAGAGCTATGACTAAATTATAGGAGTCAACCCTCAGATTTATGACAGCATCAGTAGAAAAAGTCTGAGAGCCATTCTTTTTAAAACATTCTTTGGGGAAACCAATAAATGTGAAACCTAATTTCTTATTTAAATGAATTGTCAGCTTTATTTCAAATACAGCTTCTCTTGAACCTTAAACTGAACAAATGGGCTTTTTGGAGCATCCTGCCAGATTAACCCTAACCAGACCTAGGTCATTCTACACATGCCATGAAATTGTTACTTGTCTTAGTTGAGCACGTTGTGCAGACATCCCCAAAGAAAGGAAATTGCTCTGATTTTTGCCCTTCAAAAAGATATTGTAGAGTTGGAAAAATCAGAAAGGCCAAGCAAAAATAATAAAAAGGATGGGACCAAGTCTGTAGGAGAAAGGTTACAATTTTGAAGCTTTTTAGCTTGTTTCTTGGTAAGGAAATATATCCAATCATGCATGGGGAGAGCATATGGATTGGCAATCCCCCCCCCCCACACACACACACATTTTCATGATACTAAGAAAATTCATTCAATGGTGGGACGGAGAGAACAGAAAAGAAAGAATTGTTTTTTTATATGTGCTTGTTTTAACTTTTCAGCAGAGCAAAGCTTCGCTCTGATGAAGGTTCGAAAATTCAAAAATCAGTTTAGCAGTGGGATCAAAGCTCCAGAGACATTATGTTTTCCCTTCCTTGGATATGTTCTGGGATACTTCAGGGGTTCTTCGACTGAATTGTTCATATCTCAATGGTCCCTCCCAATTCTGTGATTTTCTATATTACGGAGAGCACCCCTTCAAAACTTGTAAAACAATCTACTCACCCCTGTGGTGTTTGACAGATGAGAAAGTTGTTGAATTGCTTCATTTTGCATTGCTCCAAGTCACTCCTCTAGCACCTCCAGTAGCCCACATAGGCGTGCACAAGGCAAGAAAATTCTTCAAAGTCCTTTGTCCTTTCCCAGTTACTGGAACTGCCTGAATGTGGCATTGGAACAATGCAAAGTTCCTTGTTGAGTCAAATGTGAAGGAATTTTGGAAAAATTCTCCTGGGCGATGTTCTTGGGTGCATGGAGGTTGTCTCCTTCATGTTACGGTTCTTTCTGAGAGTCTATCACCTCCCGTGTTTCAATTAATCCCAAACAAAGCCTTAACAAGAGAATTTTTTTTTCAGCTTTCCCTGGAATCTACCTGGAGAAGTTATTCCCTGATCTGTCCACACATTTGGTGGAGAAAAGTTCCCAAAAGCCCTGCTTTAGCTTACAAGACTTGAAACAAGCTGGATCAAACAAATCCATTATGGGTTCCAGTTGTAATGACCAAAGGCGGTTGCGACAAATAGTTTTGGGGAGGCAGTTCTCGGTTTTGGGGTCCAGATCATGGGCTTCCCAGAGCGTCTATGTGGCTAACTCTGGGAAATGAGATGCTGGGTCAAGTAAGACTTCGTTCTGATCCAGCAAAGTCATACTTTCTTAAATTAATTACAGAAATTGTGCCTAGAGCCAGGTAGGGTGTAACCAGTCATGGGGGACAGCCTGGGAAGATGTAGTGCATGTTGCTTTTTTGAATACTGATACTAAATGGAGTCTGTTTTGGCAGACTTCATGGAAACTTACTAAAGATGCAACATTCCTAGCCTTTGGTCCAGAAACCAATCTTTGAAACTTGGTAGTGCATCAAAGTCAGGTAGAGGAAACCAGGATAGAAGCATCTTTAGTCAGGGATAGGGTTAAAATAGTCCCAAATCAGTAGTCAAGACATCTCTGCTACTTTTCCAAGATGGCTTTTTTGGAAGAGCTGCCTCTTGGAAAAGTTGACAAATTCCTGGTTCATTTAGAAATGAGGCAGAGTATATTATGATGTTTGGTAAAACTTTTGGGAAACTCAGTTCTCCTGAAGACAACATGAATAACAACAGTAATCCAGGAAAAAGTGACACAAAGATTGCTTGCTTCCAGATGAGGTCTATCAAAACATGGCTATTCTAGAATTACGGCTGAAAGCAGAACTAAAATTGATTCAATTCAGAGAAATTGAATCAAACTGGTTCAATTCAAGGCACATGACTAAATCAGTGCTGTATTACCCAAGAATGCCTATCCCCATGGTCAAGTGCCTTCTATAAATATTTATCTCCTTTAATAAATATTTCTAATTTAATTTAAACATTCACGTTTGAAAATTCTTTATGGCTGATCACCGCTGTAGATATTTTAATTGCCCCCTGGAGAATGGAACTATGCAGATACTCAAGTTAAAGCAATTCTATTGAATCTCCTAATCACATGAACTTTTCAAATTGAGTTGACTACTTAATTCTTCCTGTGCATACAAAGAACCATTTTCTTCACCAATTTTACAAAAAATGGAATTGACTATTTGAATGGTGCTTACAGTCAAAATGAACTGATGTTTCAAATCAAAATTACAATCAGAC